CCTTCCTTCCTTCCTTCCTTTCCTTCTTTCTAAATATACACTATGTTATAGCACAGAATATATTTATTTATTCATTTTTAAAGTAATCTCTACATCCAACATGGGGCTCAAACTCACAATCCCAAGATCAAGAGTTGCACAGTTCACCAGCTGAGCCAGCCAGGCGCCCAAACATGTTTCCTAGTTTTAAAATCCTATGGGTTTTTTTCCCCCCTATGATTCTATTTTTTTAAGTACATATTATGTGCCCAGCATTATACTAAGCTTGCTCTGGAGGGGACTGATACGGGAGGGGATATAAAAGAAGCCAGCAAGGTAGGCAAATAACTGGTAATCTTGGAGGGGAGGGGGGTGTGGGGGGGAGGAAGGAAAGAAACGAAATCAGAAAAAACAGGACAAAACAATCCCTGTGGTAAGTCAGTAGTCAGTAACACTGATGATTCCTGAGGTTTGCATCTTAGGATCTCTGTAGTCCCAGACTGAAGCCGGAGTTGGTAGGCTGAGAGGTACAACCATTTTTTTGTACCCCTCTTTCTGTACACGTCTCTGCAAATTACTGTGGAGATGATCAGAGCTGAATATCATAGGATGATGACCTCACCTTTCTAACATGCTCCCCCACCCTGTTCCAGTCCCCACATAACCCTCCTTCTAAGCAGCTTCTCTGCTGAGTAATGCTCAGTTCCCAGGGTTTATTTTGGAGTCTGAACCTCAGAAGAGAAAGAGCAACTGACAATTGGCTTTTAACGTCAAAAACATCCTAGGCTGCCCACTTTTTCTAAGCCCCTACACTCACACATAACTGTGCTCTAGATTAAGACTTTGTTTTTTGGCCTTAGCTGAGATGGTTCACATTATCTGGGGTTATAGAATTTCTGTAGTGTAGTGGTTATCATGTTCGCCTAACACATTTTATGGAGGCAGTTAGGAACCTATTTAAGGCCACTATTTAGGAGCCTCAAGGCCTGGTGGGAGCCAATGGAGTGTGCTGGGAGGAAGGCCTTTTAAAATGGGGGTTTTATTTTTGGAGACAATGGAATGTTCTTTCTGCTTCTTTGGGAACATTTCAACTAATGCTTTTGCCCCTTCCCTTGGCTAGTAACCAGCAGGGTGCAGGAGGTATAATAGTCATATATCAGGGTGTGGGTGGGATGAGCAGAAAAGGTGATAGGAGCACTCGTTAAAGCATGGAAAAGTATCTAATCCTGACAAGGGACTTTCTCCTTCCTCCAATCTAAGCTCTTACTCTCCTTACCTGGAATTTCCAATCCATTTGCTCTCAGGTATAATCTAGCATTGGGATCAAAGAAAAAAGTTCTTGTTAGAGCACAGGAAAATTATTTTAGCACCTGGGTTTTGTTTTGAAGGAGAGGTAGGCTAGAGAGAAATATAGGCTAAGGCTTATTTATGGGCTAATAGATGGGGGGTAGCAAGTTATGGATTGTATTAAATAGTGAGAGAAAATTAATCAACAGCTTCGAATGTCTTTTGTGTGCAAAACCCAGCACCTATGAAGAAGGTATAAAGTAGACTGGTTTTTACCTTTAGAGAAACTGTTTCTTGCAGGAGAGAGACTGTCCCTATACAAGACACATAACAGTGATCTGTAATCCCAAACTGATAATAGGTAAAACTCTACAGGGTGTTGGCAGAGATGCTGGAAGATACAGGGTAGAGGGAGCTGAGTAATTTTAAGGAAGTCCTCCTGGAAAGGTGAGTTTATAGTAGGGTTTAGAAGGCAGGGAGGAAAACAGAAAGCAGAAATGTCATGGAAGCCCTTTATAGGGGTACCTATTAAGCCAAAGTCAAGAAGAAGTTGAGGATTTTCTAACATAAGAAGGATTCAGGGGAAAGATTCCTCTAAGGACTTGAATTCTTCTAGGGACTCCTCCAGTAGTCTTGAAACTTAGTTATTTTAAGATGGAGAGTAGAGAGGAGGTCTCAGATTGGTGAAAACACGTGGGATGTGGGGAGAGCAGCATACCTGGAAAGGGCACGGAAGCTCCGCACCCTTTCCCTATGCCCCTGGCCTTGTGCATCTCTTCCATCTGCTGTTCCTGAGTTACAGTCTTTTATAATGAACTGGTGATCTAGTAGGTAAAAAAAAAAAAAAGATGGAGAGTAGAGGAAAAAATCAGAAAGTAGAGAAAGGTAAGCAAGAGAGGAATGAGCATAACTAGCAGAGAATGTGCTACTGCTAGGAAGGTTGGGGCCAAATTCTAGAAAGCCTTGAAAACCAGACCCAAGATTGACGTGAAGGAGTAGGCAGTGAATTAAGTCATTTCAAGATGGGGAGAAGTTAGGAAATGGTAGAAAACCATCATAGAGGCCCCAAAGCTTGTTCTAGGGAACTTGGATCATGTACAGAGGCAAATGGGGATGTAAAGTTTTGGTTTTTTTAAAGATTTTATTTATTTATTTGACAGAGAGAGAGAGTGAGAGCAGGAACACAAGCAGGGGGAGTGGGAGAGGGAGAAGCAGGCTTCCCGCCGAGCAGGGAGCCCGATGCGGGACTCGATCCCAGGACCCTGGGATCATGACTTGAGCCGAAGGCAGACGCTTAACGACTGAGCCACCCAGGCGCCCTTTTTTTTTCTTTTTTTTTTTCTTTTTATGAAGAGGTTGCTGTAGCATGAAGACTGACAAGTGGTTTCTTTCTAGGAAGTTATGAGGGACCCCGTGAGTAGCCAGTACAGCTCCTTTCTTTTCTGGAGGATGCCCATTCCAGAACTGGATCTGTCGGAGCTGGAAGGCCTGGGTCTGTCAGATACATCCATCTACAAGATCAAAGACAGCAGCGCTGGCAAAATGACCGGGCAAGCAACTGGAGAACAGGAGAAAAACTCCGAAGGCGATGCCCTCCTTGAATACAGCACCTTCAACTTCTGGAGAGCTCCCATTGCTAGTATCCACTCCTTTGAATTGGACTTGCTTTAAGCCCAAGACTTCTCTCTCCCACCACCTTGCCCTCACCATCTTCCCTCTCAAGCCCCCTCCTTTCCACCCTTTTCTCCTATTAATCTTGCTCTCTCCCCTCTATTGTGTTGAGGTGGTGCTGATGAATCTGCCAGAGTTGTGTTGTATTTATTTATTTATTTATCTATTTATTTATCTATCTGTCTTATCAGTTTCTCTTAAAAGCCCTTAAGCCACAAAGAAAAGCGTTCAAGCAGTGGAGTATTGGATCACAGGGATTCCTTCTTTCCTCTCCCCAGATACTAATTCCAGATAACAGGCCTGGTGGGGGCACCAGAGAGTAGTACAGTGGTACAAAATGGAGGACCGATTTTTTACTTCATTTTAATCAGCCTTAGAGATTGCTCAAACCTAATTTCCTGCTCTGAATCAGTAAACACAAATCTTCCTTCCAGAGTTGATGAAAACCTTAGTTTTAATTTGAGATTATCTGCTACAAGACAGTAGGATTTCTAAAAGGCTAAGGTGATAAGTCTCTTGCTATTTGATCCTGCTCCTTGTAATACACTTTTTCTCAGAGAAATTGGGGGTAGTTAAAAGTATAAAACAAGAGGAAGTAATACATCATGGAAAATTAAAATAAGGGAAAGCATCGAATCATTTCAGAAATAACTACATTCTCAAAAGGGTGTTCCTCCCTCAAGCCTACTCACTTTATAACTTCACTCCTAACTAAAAACTCTTGAGGAAAATGACTCCAATTTCAATTCTTAAGATGCGATCTTACTGAATACTATGACAATTTGTAAGGTTTTGATTGTTTCTAAAAGGCATAGAGTTTGGCCTTTAGTGTTTCAGTCTTGCCCTTCATCTGCAATGTATAATACTCATCAGTGGGCCTCAGGCACAGTTCTTCAGCTACCTTGAGACCAGGAAATAATCACATTATAATCCTACACCTTGTCCCCCCATTCCTTCCAAAATTATTGCTGATTTGTGCTGCCACTTACTCATTTCTTTAATAAAGACATTCAATCCCACGACTGGATTCTAGTTTTCTCTCTCTTCAAAGAGAAGTGTATAGATCTCCAAAATTAGCCTTGCTTTCCCCTTACACTAGGAAGAAAGCTGCAACCAACCACTTTTCTACTTGCCCATTGACTACCAACATACCGAGGTAATAATTCTAGATGCCTCAGAAGGCACCTGTTGTTACCAAATATGCTCTTCATTATCTTAGTCTAGGTGCCTAAGAAAAGAAACTAATTCACCCAAATATGTTTATCTGCTTATTTACAGCTCGTCTCATTAAAAAACAAAACCCAACTCTTTCAACTTACAAATAGAGGATGTAAACAGGAATGAAACAAGATTTTGAGTCTCAAAAAGGGAAGCCGTAAATATCAAAACGGATCGAACATGGGCAGTATGCCGTAAATACTTTAAAGATGACAATAGCAAGTTCAGAAAAGGTAGACGCGAAAAACTTAGGCTTTGAAAGGCCCACCATAAACGACAAAAGCCAAAATCTTTAAGAGTGGAGCCACGACGTGTTCTTTCCAATGTTCACTTATTTTTGAAGGGCTTCTTTCCCGATTTCTCGCTGCCCTTAGTTAGTGGCCATGGGTGAATGAACATGGCAATCAATTGTTTGGTATGTAAAATGTGTAAGTGGATTTGCAAACTCATGCTATATCCCCTTTCAAGCTCTAAAAAGAAATGAATCCATTATCTGGTCCACGGTTCCGGGGTCCTTACATTCATGCTGTAAATTGAAAATACAACCGTCAGGGCACCAGAGCTTAATTCGAGCGCAAAGCCGGAGACGTCCCAACAGTTTCACCCGAGGTACAGACAGGGAAACAAAGTTTTCCCGTCAACCTTAAAGCCGGCCCCCAGACAAGCTACCAAAACGGCGTAGAACCCACGCCGACTCCAGTTTCTCCTCGACACGTCCCCTAAGTTCTTGGCGCCGAAAGAAAAGTATCGGGTCCGTCCCCTACCGGAACTATGCGACACGTAAGACGCGTAATCAACAATCCTCCGCCTCGTAAAATAGCCCCGTCTGGTTTATCTCTAATACACACTTTTCCACCACAAAAAGCCTTCGATGGAAAGAAAATGAGCTTCGGAGGTGCATCGCTCTTCTGTTCGAATGTAAATGTGGGTTTTCTGATCATTTCCTCCTTATAGATCCCTCCGCCAAAAAGTGTACTAGCTGAGTCTTCACTTCCGGGTCCGCCATTTTGTTGCCTCCATTTCTCCACGAGGGGGGGTTAAAGGCCCCCAAAATATGCATATATGAAAAAGCCAAAAAGTAACCGTCAGTGACAGGGAGTCTTAACTAGAGAAAGAAACGGAACCAAACTGGCGGGCTCGGTGAAAGCGCGGCCGGCAGCGTCCCGGACGAGGAGGTGAGGGGGAAGAAGATGTGTGGACTCTGGGGGGCGTCGGGGCTGGAAGGGAGACTGCCGTGAGAAGTTGTACCGCATCCCAGCCCAGCCCCGGACTTCTGGGTGCAGACGGAGCGGCGCCCCTCCACCGGCGGGGGCAGCTCGGGGAGGGGGATGAAGAGGAAGGGGATGCTGCCGGGAGGAAGGGGAGGGGACTGGGAGGTGAAGAAGGGGTGGGTGTAAGACCTGGGGCTGGGGAGCTGGACCCAGGGAAGCGAGGGCCACGGAGGTGACCGCCAGGGGGCAGCCCGGAGCCCGGCCGGGGGCTGCCCCCCTGGGCTTAGGCCTTGGCTCCTTGTCCCATTGTCCCCATTGACTCTTCTTCCAGAAAGACAACGTTGCTGTGTGGAACTGGAGGATTTGTGATGGAGGAGAAAACGGGGACTCTCAATTCTCTGACCTCAGTAATAGCCTAAAGATTTTGAGTGAGCTCAGTAATCGGAGCAAGAGCAGTAAGGGCTCCGCCCCCAGTTGTTGCACAGTTGTTTGTACAGCTGGCGGCCCGGTGGAGACGTGTGCAATAAGAAAAAAAAAAGGTTGTCAGACATGGACTCTTCAATTCCATTTCTCCTTCTCGTTAGCTTTCACCTGTTCTCACAGATTTCCTTGAGCCAGCAGAGATTATTCCGTTCTTCTCTCTCTTCCCAGAAGTACTTCTTTCTCTCTTAAACATCTGTAGAAAAGGACATTCTGTGGTTTACCTCCAACAATTTAACATTTTTGGCCATCTGGGACCATATTTTCATCGTGCCATTTGACCCACCCAGTCCCATAGAGATGTTCTTTTTTTTTTTATATAAGATTTTATTTATTTATTCATGAGAGAGAGAGAGAGGAAGAGGGAGAAGCAGGCTCCCAAGGAGCAGGGAGCCCGATGCGGGACTCGATCCCAGGACCCTGGGATCATGACCTGAGCCGAAGGCAGACGCTTAACCATCTGAGCCAGCCAGGCGCCCCCATAGAGATGTCCTTAAGCATCTATGATCATACACTCTTTGAAACAGTGAAACAGGGGCGCCTGGGTGGCTCAGTTGGTTGGGCGACTGCCTTCGGCTCAGGTCATGATCCCGGGATCCTGGGATCGAGCCCCGCATCAGGCTCCCTGCTCGGCTGGAGGCCTGCTTCTCCCTCTCCCACTCCCCCTGCTTGTGTTCCCTCCCACGCTGTCTCTCTCTCTCTGTCAATTAAATAAAATCTTTAAAAAAGAAAAAAAAGAAACAGTGAAACAGAACTGCCCCACCCAAATTCTTATATCAACAAATGTAATTACTCTGTGATAATAGAGTACTTTGTTGTCAAGAGCTCAAGCACTTCATCAATTATTAAAACACTTATTCAGAGTTCTTGTATGTTTGTTTGGGGAGTGGGTGCTTTGTTACTTTATCCATCTCCAAAATCCTAAGACACAAGTTAGATCAGATTTTGTTTTTTCACTTCATATAGAGAGAAAGTAGAGGTACATCCAGTAAGGGAGAATGTTTTCCCTGTGTTTTCAATAATCAGGGAGCTTGAAAGTGCCTAGACTGTCATCTTGACTCTTGGCTACATCTCATCCGGTGGGTATTGTCAGCGTTTAAGTAGGGTATGGGAGAATGGCACATAATCCCCCCAAATGCTGTTATTTTAAAAATACATTTTACTTCTACTTCGGAGAGATCCTTCAGGTTAACTCAGAAGAGTGGAGGATGGGGAGAAAAGAACCTTGAACACATTTCTAGGAGACCTTTTTATATCAGGTGATAAATATAACACCCTACCTACATTCTAATCCTAAAGTTTAACTGTATCTTTGTATAGTAAGAAATAATACTTTCCGGGCGCCTGGGTGGCTCAGTCGTTGGGCGTCTGCCTTGGGCTCAGGTCATAATCCCAGGGTCCTGGGATCGAGCCCCGCATCGGGCTCCCTGCTCCGCGGGAAGCCTGCTTCTCCCTCTCCCACTCCCCCTGCTTGTGTTCTCTCTCTCTTTCTCTCTCTCGCTGTGTCTCTCTGTCAAATAAATGAATAGGATCTTTAAAAAAAAAAAAAGAAAGAAGACTTTTCATGGCCTTTTTAAAGAATGGGATGACAAATCTGGGTCAGTTGCCATTTAATGGTACTGATACATGGGCTCACAAATCTGATTAAAGAAAAGTGGGGGCGCCTGGGTGGCTCAGTGGGTTGAGCGTCAGACCCTTGATTTTCGTCCCAGGTCATGATCTTGGGGTCGTGGGATCAAACCCAGTGTCAGGCTCTGCACTCAGCACAGAGTCTACTCATCCCTCTTCCTCTGCCCCACCCCACACTGGCGCTCTCTCTCTCTCTCTCAAATAAATAAATAAAATCTTTAAAAAAAAAAAAAAAGAAAAGAAAAGCAGGGTTCCTGGGTGGCTCAGTTGGTTAAGCATCCAGCTCTTGATTTTGGCTTAAGTCATGATCTCAGGGTTGTGAGACTGAGCCAGCCTCAGTCTCTGCACTGAACACAAAGCCTGATTAAGATTCTCTCCCTCTCTCTCTACCCCTTCCCTCCCCTGCTCCTGCACTTGTGCTTTCTCTAAAATAAATTTTTAAAAACAAAAGAAAAGTGATACAATTAATGTATGTTTGAAGGCAGACTATGGTGAAAAAAATTGACCTCAGAAATACTTGGCAAGAGTTCAGGTGCTGAAGACAACAGTTGCAGTGGGATAAAATTAACTTATTTAAAGGATCTGTTTTCTAGATGTATCAGCTTCCCCAGAATGTGAAGCAAACCAGATTTCTCCTTATGCAGATACCTCAACCTTCAACTGAATGTTTTTTTATGGTAGAGAGTAGCTGAAATTTCACTATTAGGATACTTCTGCTTTTTGCCAGCATTTCTGAACATCCTGTGTAGGGAATTCTTTCCCTTTGTGATCAGTTATTATGTAAGTGTTTAAGACTTGGTGATATACCTTTTATATATAGTGTAATTTGAGAAAATGTGAGGGAGTCATTTATGATTAATGAACCACCTAAAAATTTGCTCTTGTTTTTAACTGCTAGCAATAAGAAAATTAAATTGAAAATTAAATTTGATATTCTAAAAGGAAGATAATTATGGAGAAATGCAAAGTGTCAGTTTTCTGTAATAAGGCTTTGCTATCATTTTTTTTTCTCTAGCATTTTCTTGAGTTGTGAAAACTGACATTATAGAGGTTCATACTATTAAAGTTCATCCTCTCCTCTTGAACATATTTATTCAAAGGTCTGGACTGGAGCCTGGAGTATAGTCATTTTGAACAAACTCCCTGGTGGTCTCCTGAACACCCATGTTTGAGGACAATGCTCTGTGATATAGATTGGAAAATTAAATCACATAGTGGCTGAATGATTTACCTAAGCCAATGATTCTCAGATTTTCTGGTTCCAGGACTCATTTATATTCTTAAAAATTATTGAGGACTCCAGTGTGTTATATCTATTGGGATTTACTGTTTCAGAAATTAATTTTTAAATGCTCATTAATTAAAATACAATTGTAAATCCTGTACATGTGAACATAACACATTTTTAATTTAATTAATTAAAAAAATATTTTTAAAAAGATTTTATTTATTTATTTGACAGATAGAGGGAGACAGAGAAGCACAAGCAGGTGGAGCGGCAGGCAGAGGGAGAACCAGGCTTCCCGCTGAGCAGAGAGCCTGACACGGGGCTCGATCACAGGACCCTGGGATCATGACCTGAGCCAAAGGCAGACACTTAACCGACTAAGCCACCAAGGCATCCCTCAATAACACATTTTTATGAAAAATATATCTTCCAAGTTAAATAATGAGAGGAATGGCATTGTTTTTTTATTTTTGCAAATCTCTTTAACTTCTGGCTTAATAGAAAACAGCTGCATTCTCATATTTACTATTGCATTTAATCTGTTGCAGTATGTACTTGGAGAAAGGAGGGGTGCTTTAATAGCTTTTTCAGGTAATTGTGGGTATTCTTTTTATTTTTAATTTTATTTATTTATTAGAGAGAGAGACAGCAAGAGAGGGAACACAAGCAGGGGGAGTGGGAGAGGGAGAACAGGCTTCCCGTGGAGCAGGAAGCCCGATATGGGACTCAATCGCAGGACCCTGGGATCATGACCTGAGCGGAAGGCAGACACTTAAGGACTGAGCCACCCAGGCGCCCCGTGGGTGTTCTTTGATGCTACTACACAAACACTGGACAAAGCGGCAATTTCTTAAAAGTTAGTTGCAGTGAGGAATCTGAAACCATATCAGTGAAATTATTATACTCTGTTACTTTAAAATGCACTGATCTTTCACTTTGCTTGCTTTTACCTATACATGATTTTATAACATGCATTGGTCATTTGAAAAATACTGGTTAAGCAAATTATGCAGGCCACCCAAATGTTGATGCATTTTATTATACAATGTTAAAAAATCACATTCATTAGTATTAACACTAATTTCATCAGAAAAGTCTGTAGTAAGCTATCAACCCATAGTGGTGGATTTAAGTTTCCCAGAATTCTAATTTTGCTCGAAAGCTCAAATTATAATTAATAATTGTCAGTAAACACTGTCAGTTGTTTTCTTTGAAATGACAGGCTCACTTTGTTCATTTTTGAAAAAGTGTCTGCCATATACCTGAGTCTGAATAGCCTTGGTGTTTGTTCATCATTCTTTCGTGTGACATAACATTTCTACCCATAGTTATTTCAAAGGGATGAAATGCTGTTTTACTGATTCCTTAAGTTAGAGAGGTGGTAATGTGTTGCACAGATTTCCAAAGTATTTTTCTGAAAATTGAACATTAAGGTACTATTGTTTAGGGCCTAAAATTTTCCCACATATCTGATTGTGTTAGATGAGGTAGAAAGGAAGTGCCCTACTGGATAGTCAGCTTGAGAAGTATCTTACATATATTTAAGTACAAGAGGTCTTCTAAAAACATTTTATAGGCAGCTTTCCTTGTGTTTGAATTATAACTTCCTGAAAATATTTGTTCCTATGCCTAAAGATGTCTTTGGTGGACTTGGGGAAGAGGTTGCTAGAAGCAGCAAGAAAAGGCCAAGATGATGAAGTGAGAACATTGATGGCAAATGGCGCCCCCTTCACCACAGACTGGGTAAGCTCTTTCAGTTATTCCCAACGTGGGCTGTTACCAATTTCTTCCTTTTTTTTTTTTTTCCAAAGATTTTATTTTTAAGTAATCTCTCTACCCAATATGGGGGCTCAAACTCACAACCCCTGAGATCAAGAGTCACATGCTCTACTGACTGAGCCAACCAGACGCCCCAGCATTGCCTAATTTTAACAATTCAATGAGCCAATGTCCTCTATCCTGCGGTGATTAATTCATAACTTTAGAGGCCAGCAGGTACTTAGCACTTCACAAAAAGGAAGAAAAGGAAACCTATGAGATTAGCGTTTCTATTAATAGACCTGAAAAGAGCAATGTGAGTTAAATTGTCAGGCAAAGAGGCTGAACATATATGAAATGCAAAGAATAAACAGCATAGCCTTAAAGTAAAGGACCTAACACAAAGAAAGGAATAGTTCTTTGGCCAAAGTGGCCAAAGATAGATCACTCTTTCAGGATTTACTTTGAGATGATCCAGGCTGCTTATTGCTATTGACACGCCATTGCTAAAACTTTATTGCCTCTTCATCTCATCAGTCTTTTTGCTTTGTATTACTGTGGCAACAGACTTCTATTCCAGCCAGTTAAATTTGCACACCAAATCTCAGTATCTTTCTAATTTCTGCCCTTTTCCTAAGAATTATTTTGAACCCACTTATCCCTTTCCAATGCAGAATGTTCTTGTTCATCTGTTTTTTGTTTTGTTTTGTTTTTTTACCTTCTTCTAAGCTTTGCTTAACATCATGTCCTTTAGAGAATCTTTCCTGATAAATCCATCTGACTTAAATCCATTATACTTAGCACTTATTTAATTGGTGGTATATTTACTTGCCTGTTAGAATATTAATTTCTTAATTCTTTACTCCTATTGCACAACCAGATTGTCACTCAGACAAGAACCATAGACTGTACCTCTTGTTCATTTGTGTCTCTCCAGTTATGATTTAGGACTCTGCACACAGTTGATATTCAATGAGTATTATTTTCCCACAGCTTGGAACATCACCCCTCCACCTTGCAGCCCAGTATGGTCATTATTCCACAGCAGAAGTGCTCCTTCGAGCAGGCGTTAGCAGGGATGCCCGGACCAAAGTGGACAGGACCCCTCTGCACATGGCTGCAGCTGATGGACATGCGCACATCGTGGAACTGCTTGTTAGGGTAATAGTGGCAGATCTGTACTGTAAAAAAGACACCCACCTCCCTGTTTTCTTACTTAAACGAGTAGTAGGAAACTAGGCTGGGAAAGATTAAGTTTAGGACAGTTCATAGCATAGATTTGTGTCTCTTTCAAGAGACATCATGGCGATGAGGATTTTGTTTTCTAATCTTTTACAGGCTAAGCAGACTTTATTGATTTTTCTTCATTCCCTTTCTGCAGGTGTTTTCTGTACTTACGCCTATTTTTGTAGGCACTCAGCTCTCTGTTAGTAAATGCAACAAAAATCTGTTCTTTTCCCCATCCTTTCCCATCTGTTTTAATTTCCCAGTTGTCCTTAGAAGACCCACTCATTGAAGACAATATGACTGTCATCATTCAGGAAAATTTGAAGAATGTTTTTCCCTTTGATATTTCTATGTGATCTAAATTTGAATATGTGTAATCTCCATGGAAATTCTCTTTATTTGGCTGATGGGATCTTGCACCTGTGCTACCATTACCAGTGTCTCTTTGAAAAAAATTACTGTTCTGTGACAGAATGGTGCAGATGTGAATGCCAAGGATATGCTGAAGATGACAGCTTTACATTGGGCTACAGAACACCACCATCGAGATGTTGTAGAGCTACTTATCAAATACGGAGCTGATGTCCATGCTTTCAGCAAGTTTGATAAATCTGCCTTTGACATAGCCCTGGAGAAAAAGAATGCTGAAATTCTGGTCATCCTTCAGGTCTGGTTCTTTTTATACGCCCAGAATATATTTTAATTGAAGTTAAGAATTTTTTTTAATAGGAGCTGAATCAAAATTGAATTTTCTCTATTTATCAAGGTATTACTTCTAATATGTCTCAATCTTATGATTTGGTGTCATTGGTATCTTTAAAAAAAATATATAGCATTGTAGGGGCACCGAGTGGCTCAGATGGTTGGATGTCTGCTTTCAGCTCAGGTCATGATCCCAGGATCCTGGGATCAAGCCCCTCGTTGGGCTTCCTGCTCGGCGGGGAGCCTGCTTTCTCCCTGTCCTGCTGCTGCTCCACCTGCTTGTGCTGTCTCTCTGTCAAATAAATAAATAAAATCTTTAAAAAAAAAAAAATAGCATTCTACAAAGCCCTGAATTATTCATGGTGATTGGAGAACAGTGTTGTGGCCAGTACAAAAACAAGATTTGTTTGGCTTTAGAATGTTTTTTTCCTCCGTGAAAATTTCCCTCTTTCTTTTTTTTTTTTCTGTTTTTAAGATTTTATTTACTTATTTATTTGAGAGAGAGAGCACGGTGTGGAGGGCTGGAGGGGGAAAGAGAGGGACAGCAAGCAGGGCTTGATCTCACGATCCCGCGACCCCAAGATCATGACCTGAGCTGAAGTCAAGTCTGACACTCAATTGACTGAGCCACCCAGGTGCCCTGAAAATTTCCCTTTCTAATTGAGCTTGACTTGGGACAATGTTAAAAGCCTCATTGGGGTGCCTGACTGGCTCGGTTGGTAGAGCATGCAGCTTTTTGATCTCGGGGTCATGGGTTCAAGCCCTACATTGGGCTTAGAGATTGCTTAAATTAGTAAACTTTTTTTTTAAAAAGTCCTTTTATGTTTTCTGAATGTACATCAACTGATATGAGGCAGTACATAGCTCTGACACATATTGAGTCATAAGGAAGCCATCTCAGAGTTAAAAAGTAGCTGTGACAATTTCACCCATTAATTTCTTAAGCCAGCACTTGTACATCAGGGAATAACAGGATGAGGGATACAAAGATTAATAGGACATGGCCCTGCCCTTAGAGTGTTTACGGTATGATGAAGGTAAAGACAAGAAATGGGGCACCTGGGTGGCTCAGTCGGTTAAGCGACTGCCTTCGGCTCAGGTCATGATCCTGGAGTCCCCGGATCGAGTCCCACATCGGGCTCCCTGCTCAGCGGGGGGTCTGCTTCTCCCTCTGACCCTTCCCCCTCTCATGTGTTCTCTCTCTCTCTCATTCTCACTCTCTCAAATAAATAAATAAAATCTTAAAAAAAAATAAATTAAGAAAAAGAAATGAAACATTACAATACTACGTTGATAAATTTGATACTTATCCAGTGTTACAGGATCGCAGAATAAATGATGCTTAAGGAAAAGATTAAAGTGTATGTAAAGGAGTGCCAGTGAGGAGCATGCAACTCTTGATCATGAGCTCAAGCCCCACATTGGGTGTAGAGATTATTTTATTTTATTTATTTATTTTTTAAAGTTTTTATTTATTTGAGAGAGAGTGAGCACAAGCAGGGGGAAGGGCAGGCAGAGGGAGAGGGAGAAGCAGGCTCCCTGCTCAGCAGGGCAATGCGGGGCTCGATCCCAGGACCCTGGGATCATGACCTGAGCCGAAGGCAGATGCCCAACCTACTGAACCACCCAGGCGCCCCTAGAGATTACTTAAGAAAAAAAAAAAAAGTATATGTAGAATCTGAACTGAGTTTTGAAGGAGAAGTAAGCAGAGAAGTAAGAAAATGATACTCTAGGCTAGAAAAAGAGCAAATCAGTGACATAGAGGTGTGAAAGGATATGGAATGTTCAGGAAAGAGTAAGTTCTGTGACTAGAGGTTGATCAAGGGAAATGGAGTTTGGGAGTGGCAGGAGCTAAGCCTTAATGATTAGGCTGGGTTTTGAATGTAGGGGTGTTACATGGCGTGCAAAGGAGTTTGGACTGTTTGGTGGGCAACGGGGATCCAATAAAACCTCTAAAATACAAGATTGAGATGATTCTTTTTTTTAAGTAGACTTCATGCCCAACATGGGGCTTGAACTCATGACCTTGAGATTAAGAGTCCAATGCTCTACCGACTGAGCCAGCCAGGTGCACCCCCGTCCTTTGAAGATGATTGATTGGACTGTGGTATGCAGACTGGAGAGAAAAGACACTTAATGCTAAATCATCATATGGTGACTGACTAGGTCAGGCAAGAGCCAGTGAAGGCTTGAATTAAGGAAATAATAGTGGAGGATAGAAGGGGCTGATTCAAGAAGAATTTAACAGTAACCGGAAAATGAATAATCTGTTTCAATTGAAGCTCTTAGTCAAACGGATAATTATATGTAAAAAATAGCCGTTTCTGCTGCATTTTCAGGGGTTTATTCCTTTTTTCTGACTGATGATTCTATATAGACTGGTTGTCTTCTTTAGCCTTCAACTCCTTATTTAGAGCTCTTTTGTAATTGGACTTCTAAAGTAGATATCATGTTTGTAGAAAACTGCTTCTGAGGGGCGCCTGGGTGGCTCAGTCATTAAGCGTCTGCCTTCGGCTCAGGTCATGATCCCAGGGTCCTGGGATCGAGCCCCGCACTGGGCTCCGTGCTTCTTGGGAAGCCTGCTTCTCCCTCTCCCGCTCCCCCTGCTTGTGTTCCCTCTCTTGCTGTGTCTCTCTCTGTCGAATAAATAAATAAAATATTTAAAAAATAAATAAATAATCTGGCACTCATTTATTTGTTTGTTATATATTCTCTTAGGAATTTCTTCAGTGGCAAAATGGAACAAGTAGTTGGACAAAACTCTGGAGAATATTGTTCTCTGTAGATTTGCTGCAGGGATCTCCTGCTAGCACATTGACCTGTATATAATTGATCATAGAAAATTCATGCTGGAAATTACTTCTTAGGCCACCCCTTCATTTTCCAAATAAGAAAAAACAAGTTCTAGACAGGTTAAGTGGATTGTCTAGACGTTTTCGCAAATAATACACTTTTTTTTGCATATGATAATACTTTTTTCTTTAAATTAGAAATAAACTTGGGAGAGGCGCCTGGTGGCTCAGTCGTTAAGCTTCTGCCTTCCGCTCAGGTCATGATCCCAGGGTCCTGGGATCGAGCCCCGCATCAGGCTCCCTGCTCAGCGGGAAGCCTGCTTCTCCCTCTCCCACTCCCCCTGCTTGTGTTCCCTCTCTCGCTGTGTCTCTCTCTGTCGAATAAATAAATAAAATCTTAAAAAAAAAAAGAAAGTTGGGAAAGCAACCTAACATCTTTGTTGCCCTGGTCTGGAAAACAAACAAACAAAACAAAAAAGAAAAGCAGTAGTCTTAATGAGAACTCTGAGCCACAACTTGTTCTGCTCCACAGAGCATTGGGGTGGGGGTGGCCACTCAATAACTGTATAACTAGGGCTAACAAGTTCTGACTTTGAAATACCCTGCCTTGTTTTGTAGGAAGCAATGCAGAATCAGGTGAATGCTAATCCCGAGAGAGCCAACCCTGTGACTGTGGCTGCCCCATTCATCTTCACATCTGGAGAAGTTGTCAACCTCGCTAGCCTTGTTTCTTCAGCCAACACCAAAACAACCTCAGGTAGTAATCTGATAACGTGGCATTTATTTTAGACTTAAAATGAACAGGACCCCAGTTTTTACTGTGAGATGCATTCATACCCTGTCTGATACCCACTCATTTATTAAAATATTCTCCAAATAGAAGATTTAGAATAGATTTTAAAGCCAATGCATTTATTCTTCCTGGGGGAAGGGGAGATCATACACAGGGTTTACACATGAGTGCTTACTGTATTAAAAGTAAAATATTTTAAGATTAATCTGTATGTGACCACAAAATGAAAACATAAGGGTGCTTCAATATGGTACCACTAAGGAAAATAGTTATATATTCATAGTCTAAAACAGTGACAAATAAACCAGAATAAATGTAAATGGGTGTTGGAGTGCTGATATAAAAGAGGTACATGTGATTATTTGAATAAAGTGTAAGAGCTTTGATTTGTTCTTGGGAACATAAGTAACAACAAAATAGAGAAAAGCACATTTTGAGATCTGTATGTTTTTAACAAAAACATCTATTGCAAAAGGAGCAAACTGAGCTATTTTCAACATTTCTTTACAAGTATTTGTTTTACAATGAGGGAATTTGTGTCCTCGTTTAAATAAATTTTCCAACTGACTCAATTTCTTTTTCTGACTTTCACTTAAAAATAAGACACTGTGGGGCGCCTGGGTGGCTCAGTCGTTAAGCGGCTGCCTTTGGCTCAGGTCATGATCCCAGAGTCCTGGGATCGAGCCCCGCGTCGGGCTCCCTGCTCCGTGGGAAGCCGGCTTCTCCTTCTCCCACTCCCCCTGCTTGTGTTCCCTCTCTCGCTGTGTATCTCTCTGTCAAGTAAATAAATAAAATCTTAAAAAAAAAAAAAAAAAGACACCGTATTCCTAGTTAAGTTTGTATAATATCAAAGAAAGATCTTTTTTTTTTTTAAAGATTTATTTATTTATTTGAGAGAGAGAATGAGATAGAGAGAGAGAACATGAGAGGGGGGAGGGTCAGAGGGAGAAGCAGACTCCCTGCTGAGCAGGGAGCCCGATGCGGGACTCGATCCCGGGACTCCAGGATCATGACCTGAGCCGAAGGCAGTCGCTTAACCAACTGAGCCACCCAGGCGCCCTCAAAGAAAGATCTTGAGTGAAGTGTTATTATTGAGGGGCAGTGTGGCAAAATAGAACAGATAACAATATACATAAAATTTTACATTGAGTACTGCATTCAAATACTGGTTTATTAATTGACCACATGCTTGACCTTGGGAAAACTCTTACTTCTCTAAGCCTTCTTTACTTATTTACAAAATTGGGATATAATAATACCTACTTTGGACTTCAGTAATAGCTAGTGTTAAATGAAAATATAAGTCCTCAATGAAAGTTTATTCTGTTATGCCCTCAAGGGGGCAGTAATGACCTTCATTTTATAGGCCATCAACTATCATTTAAAAATCACTGTGATTTGCTTTCAGCTTGATAATTCAAAAAGTTTAGGTTAAATATACATATACTTGTAATCAGAACATTCACAGACTTTTGGATTTGTTGTGGTTCAAGCCACAGTGATTAGAACAAGTACCTTTATAATCCAAAAGTCTTTAGAAGCCAGTAAAGTTAGTGTTCACAAACATGTAAAAGGAGCTAGAGTTGGTAATCTAACTATTCAAATTCTTCAGACCCTGATCTGAGATGATAAGCAAAGTTGAAGATATTTAGGATACAGCTTCTTAGCCTTGGTTCCCATGGGCATATATCATATTTGTCCTATTGCTTTTGGCAAACCTATTGTTTCTCTCTTCGGGATGTTGCCAACTCCAAATTAAGATTGCTAAACCACCACATAATAGGGCTGATCTCCCCAGTGTTGTCTTACCCATGAAACTGTTCTACCTACCTCTCCCTTCGGGGGAGATAACCAATGCAGATAAAAGAAAGGAGAAAAGTTTTAAGACAAATTCAGGTTGTATTATTCAGCTGGGTTAAAGGATTTTCTTTTCCTGAACAGTGGGTGGGTGGCTGCTTTTTTCCCATTACCTAATTTTTTTATTTTTTATGTTTTTGAGAGAGAGAGAATGTGTGCAGGTGCGTGTGCAAGCTGGGGAGAGGAGGGGCAGAGGGAGAGGGAGAGAGAAAATCCCAAGCAGGCTCCATGCCAAGTGCAGAGCCGGACGTGGGGCTTGATCTCACCACCCTGAGATCATGACCTGAGCCGAAATCAAGAGTCGGATGCTTAACTGACTAAGCCACCCCCCTTTTCTCCCCATCATCCAGTAATTAAAAAAAATTTTTTTTTAAGATTTTACTTATTTATTAGAGAGAGAGAGAGAGCCAGAGACCACAAGGAGGGGGAATGGCAGAGGGAGAGGGAGAAGCAGGCTCCCCGCCGAGCAGGGAGCCCAATGCGGGGCTGGATCCCAGGCCCCTGGGATCATGACCTGAGCCAAAGGCAGACGCCAAACCAACTGAGCCACCGAGATACCCCCATCCAGTAATATTTTTAAGAATTAACTGAAAGTATCCTAGGATTATCATTTTGATGGATATTTTTTATAACAAAATTCATATTATAAAGTTTGCTTTCAATTTTCCATTTGTGACTAAAGATATCACTGATCATCAGTGCTACGTACATCAAACTGCAGTGGTTCAGAAAGGCAGACTAAATTAAACATTAATCAGGGCAAAAAAGAGTTATGGAGATGAATTTCCTATTTCTGTAGGATCATAAGATGCATTCCAAAGTCAAATATAAATAGCTTTGTATTGGTTCATAAAGAGTACAGGCTTTGTGGAATCTAATGAATTGAGTTCTAATCTGGGCTCTGACATTTACTACCTGTGTGACCTGGGCAAGTTACTTAGTTTTTCACCAACTCACTGAGATTGCCTAGCCTACCATAGCACACTCCCCTAAATCCTGGTATGAAGAGTTTATCTAAGCCACATTCTGAATAGGTAGCAAGAGTCATCCCTGATAATGCCATTTTAAAACAACAGCATCCATGCGCATTTTACTTTATTTGGTGTTGGGTCTTATATTGAGGAGAAGGAAGCAATTAATATTGTTTAACAATAAAGTACCTAATTTTCCTAAAATTCACTGGGCTAAGTCTAAAGAGGTAATTTGTATCATCTCTTTTCAGTTTCAACTGTGTATGTCAGAATATTAGACCCAGTTTTTCACAAATGTTCTGTTTTCATTTTGCTGTTAAGGGGAAGTTGGGTGAGTCATTATGTCTAAATCAAAGGGAGAACACCCTTAGCTTGGTATCATTATGTGCTAAAAAGTATACAGTGTTTTCTTAAGCAGTTTTACCCATTCTACTTTAACTGAGTGACCTACCTGATGTTTGGCCTACTTGAACTTTAATTATAACAGCCCTGTTGTGTATATTTGTGTGTGTGTGTTTTAACTGTGGTAAAATAATAACAATCTTGTTTTTTGATTGCTAGTGAGTTATTGTCATATATATTCCAACCTCCTTGAAGGATATATATAAAAATATATATAAAAATTGCTTGTTCCTTTTTTGTTTCATTTGTGAGTTCTTATGTCAGTGTTTGGTATGATAAGCTAAGTGATGGGAAAAGCATGAATTTAGTAGAAACATTAGGGAATAGGCTATAGCTGGATCTTGCTTTGCATGAAGTCATTGGATAGACATAGATTCCTTTCTGGAGGTCAGGCACTGTGTTCCACTCAGACTGATTGGTTCCCTGAGTATTTTATGAGAAAATTAGAATAAAACAGAGTTATCATCACTATCTCCATTGTAATCCCCCAATGCCACTATCATCCAGAAGCTAGATTAAGATCATTTGTAGTTGGGGCTCCTGGCTGGCTCAGACTGTAGAGCATACAACTCTTGATCTCAGGGTTGTGAGTTCATGCCCCACGTTGGGTGTAGAGATTATTAAAAAAATAATAATAAACTTAAAAGAAGATAGTTTGTAGCTATTAGGAGTACTATACAAGTAATCTACTTTTTGAAATTTAAATTTATAAACCAGTTAAATTACTTACATTAATCATATCAGAAAAGGATTCTTTGCTCTTTGGATGGATTTATTATAAGGAGTGTTAAAAAGGAATTTCCTTAAGTATTTTTAAGTATTTTACAGATAATTGGCTTTTTGATAGACAAAAGGCTGGAAAGAATCTTTAAGCATAGTTAGTGGGAAAACAAAAATGGAGAGTACATTGGGGCACCTAGCTGGCTTAGTCAGTAAAGCATGCAACTCTTGATCTTGGGGTTGTAAGTTCGAGCCTCACATAGGGTGTAGAGATTAAAATATAATCTTAAAAATATATCTTAAATATAAAAACCTTAAAAATAAAATCTTAAAAAAAATTAAGGGGCACCTGGGCGGCTCAGTTGGTTAAGCATCCGGCTCCTGGTTTTGGCTCAGGTCATGATCTCATGGATTGTGGGATCAAGCCCCACATCAGGCTCGTGCTCAGTGTGGAATCTGCTTGAGATTCTCTCTCCTTCTCCCTCTGTCCCTCACATGCGCACATGCTCTCTCTCTCTCAAATAAATAAGTAAATCTTTAAAAAAAATTAAGAGGGGCGCCTGGCTGACTCAGTCAGTGAAGCGTGCAACTCTCGATATTCGGGTTGTGAGTTCAAGCCCCACATTAGGTATAGAGCTTACTTAAAAAAATAGAATCTTAAAAAAAAAATTAAGAATACATTTAAAAAGAAGGTAAGTGTATCACTCAGAGTCCAGTCAGGAGACAAAACTACATGGTGATTTGTATAATTTTATTATAATATATAATATGTATAATTTCTAAGATACCTAAACATACATGTACAATTTATAAAAAATTATTTGTAATAGCAGATTAACTAAGAGGTGAAGAGAACCCTAAAGAATACAGGAATAACCAGTATAGGGAGCAGCCACTACTTCTGTATGACAAAACTTAATTTCATGCTGTCAAGAAATATTGATAGGGTCCAGCTTCAGGTATGACAAGGCAAGGCAAAGAAGGGTAGATTTGGAGCTGAGAGGCAATAAATTCACAACTGGCACAGAAGTATCTTCGAAATTATAATGAAAGACATATAGGGAAATGCAATTCATTTTATAAAAGTTAAATTTATGCAAAACTGTCAAGTAATGCTTTTGGTTCATAAAGTTAGGCATGCCTGTTGCCAGATCTAATGTACTTTCCTCCTGGAACTTAGCTGTAAGAATAGCACACAGATACAAGAAGAAAAGGTTATAAAAAAGCACATCATGACCAAACTAAAGTAGGTAATTATTTTTAGCATGAATCAGTTGTACTACTCTTTGATGTTCAATAAACTAAATGTCCGGCTTTTAACTGTCCTTGCATTAGAGGTCATTCTGAGTCTTCCCACCTGTCTAGCTGATGGGTAGATGCAGTATGGTTAAGTAAAGCCTGCGGGGTCTTTTCCCTCAGCACCACCTAGTTTAGGGTAAAGTATGCTTTGTGTGCTTACCGCCTGCTGCCAGGGAGAGCTCTGTGCAGCCAGCCTAGGGAGTAGGCGGCACTCTTGGTTTGTTGGCTCCTAATGCTCAGCACTGTCAGTGCTGAAAAAATGAGCAAATGTGGGGAATATAGTGGCTCTATACTAAGCATATTACCTTAATCCACTTTATTTTTTTATTTTTTTTTAAAGATTTCATTTATTTATTTATTTGACAGAGAGATACACAGCGAGAGAGGGAACACAAGCAGGGGGAGTGGGAGAGGGAGAAGCAGGCTTCCCGCAGAGCAGGGAGCCCGATGCAGTGCTCAATCCCAGGACTCCGGGACCATGACTTGAGCTGAAGGCAGATGCTTAACCATCTGAGCCACCCAGGTGCCCCTTTAAAGGAAAACCTTTCTAAACCAAGAGTGTTAACACCATGATCATTGGTTTATACCAGTTTGTATTGGAAAGGAAGGGGAAGGACATTAGAATGAAAAGCTGAGGTTTTGATTTAATAAAAGCCATTTTTAGTTAATCTCCATTTATTCTGTCTGTCAGACCTCATTTACCTTTTTTACCAAAATAGGTGACCCCCATGCCTCCTCAGCACCACACTTGTCAAATTCCACCACCTCAGTGCTGGCCACCCTTGCAGCTCTTGCTGAGGCATCAGCCCCCTTGTCCAACTCCCACAGAGCCGCAGGTAGGTAAGGGATATCTGCTGGGTGAATCGCCAGTTCTTCTTTTGTTTTTACATTTCCAGCAGATTTAATTTGCATGAAATACTAAAAAATTATGGTTAATTAGAGACATCTAGAAAAGAGGAATGTAGAGTCATTGAGCATCAGAAAGAAAAATCACTAAGCAATAGAATCAGATGGCTGAATAATATTAGAGAATGGCTCAGTTATTTCTTCGTATTTTTGTGGTTTCAAGTTTGTTTGCCCTGACTCCAGTTGCTTCAGATTGAAATGTTTAGTCTTCTATTAGCAGATTATTTGGGAAATACTCTATGTTGTGTTTTGACTGATGCTATCATAGACTGATTCAAAATAGCAGCTTAGATACGTTGTATTTAAAGCATCAAAATACGTAGGACTGCTATGTCTCTCATTGTCATATTCTGTATACTTCAGGGTGGCTTGCTTTTGTTTTCACTGGAGATGATATTTTGGCATTTCCAATGGAGTTGGGCAGATATATGCTATATAGTGGCCTTCTGATACACAGAACAAAAAAGGTTCAAGTCACTTAGCCAGAGCTGGTAGCCTGTGGGGAGAAGGCTCAGGGCTTCATATAAGTAGGAGCAGATAGTCATAGGTAGAGCTAAATTGTCATCTAGGAATCTTTCTGGAGCCTTCTGACAGTCTGCTCCATTATAAATGAAAGCAGATTGTTCTGATTTCTTTCTGCCATTGACATTTGGGTGGTGAGAACATTCCTCCAATTCTGTTTTTCCGACTGGCAGTAATCATAAAGATCTCTACTCAAACATGTATGAGTGAGCAGCATGACAGAGGGAAAAGCTTGTGCTTGTTATTTTGATTTGCTTTTTGATTTTGGATAAATTACTTAACTTCTCCAGGTCTCAGTCTCTTCACCTCTGGCTGAGGTTGGATGGTTGGATCAGATTATCTTCTGAGGTCTTTTCAGCTATAACATTTAACTCTTCTTTGTTTTTAAGAGATGTGAATGTTCTATTTCCATTAAACCACCTGAATGTGTCTCATGTGGATAGTCCATATCCCACTTAGTACAAAGTTCTACCTGTGACTCTTTAGATAGAGAAATTTTGTAGTGGAATAATAGGAACTCTTTTCCTAATAATTATTGGGGATATTGACTAACCAAACTGAAAATCTTTTTTTTTTTAAGTTTTATTTATTTAAGTAATCTCTACACCCAATGTGGGGCTTGAATCACGACCCCAAGATCAAGAGTCACATGCTCTTCTGACTGAGCCAGCCAGGTGCCTCCTCCCCCTTTTTTGATTACCAAACTAAAAATTTTGATTCAACATAATATATATAAAGCTCTTAGAAGGGTACCGGGTTACACTGTAAATAGTCAGTGTTAGTTGCTGTTAATATTATTGTTTGTCAGATGGGAGAAGCCACCTGCCATTTGTGTCTGCCATTGTGCCATTTGACTTCATCAATGCTTTGTCTACTTGACATGTTATTTTGTTAACTCACTATTAAATACCTCCATTTTCTTATAGAAATAGATCTACTCTGCAATTATTTTTCTAAGCTCCATAGATTTATTTAGTCTTTTAAGAGGCTTCTTGAAAAAAGAATTCCAAGATCAAATATGCTGGGGAAGCTCAGCGTATCTTATGCCCTGTTGGAGAATCACAGTGCTCATTAGCCTGTTGGGGTTTCTGATACTTTTTACCAAACAAACAAACAATTTAAGCATATATAAACTGGCATTTTGAAAGTGTATTTGTGCATAGAACCCATCCTTAGTGAAAGGAGTTAACATCTCAGTGAAGACATTTTAGAAAATACTGTTCTATTGCATTCACTATTTTCTTTTCTCTTCTGACTTATTAGCATTGGTCACTAGAGCTTGCTTTAGAAACTTAAATCTAACTTCTTTTTTCAAGTTTTCCTGTCCCTGGTATAATCAGTTTCAAGGAGGCTGAAATTGTTATACTCCTATTTTTTAAAAGGCTGAAATTTCAAATTCATTTTTGTCATCTCTAGCTAATTCAGAGGAAATGATAGAGGGAAGTTCTGTTGACTCATCAATCCAGCAAGTGGTGGGGAGCGGAGGCCAGAGGGTCATCACCATAGTGACTGATGGAGTCCCTCTGGGTAATATCCAAACTGCAATCCCTACTGGAAGCATTGGCCAGCCATTTATCGTAACTATGCAAGATGGACAGCAAGGTGAGTTATCCCATTCAGAGAAGTGTTTATGAAAAGATATGTTAGAGCGCGCCTGGGTGGCTCAGTTGGTTAAGCGACTGCCTTCAGCTCAGGTGATGATCCTGGAGTCCGAGGATCGAGTCCTGCATCGGGCTCCCTGCTCAGTGGGGAGTCTGCTTCTCCCTCTGACCCTCTCCCCTCTCTTGCTCTCTCTCATTCTCTCTCTTTCAAATAAATAAATAAAATCTTGAGGAAAGAAAAGAAAAGATATGTTAGTCCATATTCCTCTAAAAATGAGGCATTGAAGTAACTAGTGGGACTAAAAGAATGACAGATGCCAAATTGGCTCCAAGAAAAAAAGAAACAGATACTAGGCTGGCAAGGCCTAATTTCCCTAATGTATTTAAATTTGTGAGTAAAAGCCAAAAGTCTGGTAAAAAAAAGAGGAAATTGTAAGAACCAGTAGTTTACAGAAAATACTGGTGGATCTTAAAAATATGGAAATATGTTCTACCTACTTCATACATAGCAAGAGAAATGCAAGTCATTTCTGCACTGAGATACCATTTATAACACTGTGTTATAAGGTGTCAAAGGTGTCAAAGGTGTGGGGAAATAGGCACTCATAAATCACTGACTGGCTCAGTCAGTAGAGCTTGTGATTCTTGAGTTGTAAGACAACAACCCACCCAGGCGCCCCTACATTTGTATTTTTTTAAAAAAAGGGGAAATATATGTATATTTGCTAATATAGTCATAGACTTAAATCATCTCTGAAGGAACATTCAAGAATAACATTGATAACATTGGTTGCCTCCTTGCTTGTGCTCTCTCTCTCTGTCAAATAAATAAATAAAATCTTTTCTAAAAAAGTGTGGGGGGGTGGTGCCTGGGTGGCTCAGTCAGCTAAGTGTCTGCCTTCAGCTCAGGTCATGATCCCAGGGTCCTGGGATCAAGTCCCACATCAGGCTCCCTGCTCAGCGGGAGGCCTGCTTCTCCCTCTCCCGCTCCCTCTGCTTGTGCTGTCTCTCTCTTCCCCTCTTTCTCTGTCTCCATAAAATAAATAAATAAAATCTTTTAAAAAAAACAAACAAACAACATTGGTTGCCTCTTGAGAAGGTAGCTGGGGATGGATGGGAGACTTTTCACTACATATGCTTTTATAACTTTTATATTTTTTAAATTTTAAACCTTATATTTTTAAAGATTTTATCTATTTATTTGAGAGAGAGAGATAGACGGAGGAGGCAGAGGGAAAGGGAGAAGCAGACCCCCCTCTGAGCAGGGAGCCTGACTCCGGGCTTTATTCTGGGACCATAAGATCATGATCTGAGGAGGGCGCCTGGGTGGCTCAGTTGGTTAAGCAACTGCCTTCGGCTCAGGTCATGATCCCGGAGTCCCGGGATCGAGTCCCGCATCGGGCTCCCTGCTCAGTGGGGAGTGTGCTTCTCCCTCTGACCCTCCCCCCTCTCATGCTCTCTATCTCATTCTCTCTCAAATAAATAAATAAAATCTTTAAAAAAAAAAAAAAAAGATCATGATCTGAGCCGAAGGCAGATGCTCAACTGACTGAGCCACTCAGGTGCCCCATAACTTCTAATTTTTGAACCACATGAATGTATTACTTATTCAAGAAATATATCAGTAATTTTTTTTAAGAGAAACTAATCATTACAACCTCATTCCTTAAAAATACTCGAGTTTGGGGGCCCCTGGGTGGCTCAGTTGGTTAAGTGACTCTTGATTTTGGCTCAGGTCATGATCTTAGGTTGGTGAGATTGAGCCCCTCCTTGAGCTCCATGCTGGGCATGGAGCCTGCTTAAGTGTCTCTCTCCTGCTCCCTCTGCCCCCCTCCTACTTTGCTTGCACTCTCTTTCTCTCTGTCTAAAAAAAAAAAAAAAATTGGAGTTTGAAAGAGGAGGGTTGGTTTATTGCAATTGAGTCACCAAAATTTTGACTTGGCCTAAATAATGATGGGGATTTTATAATTTTCAAACTATTTAAACTGGTGGATCTTTGTAGCATAGAAAGAAAAAGTACGCATTAAACCTGTATAATTGGGGCACCTGGGTGGCTCAGTCGGTTAAGCGTCTGCCTTCCACTCAGGTCATGATCCCAGGGTCCTGGGATCGAGCCCCATATTGAACTCCCTGCTCAGTGGGGAGCCTGCTTCTTCCCTCTCCCACTCTCCCTGCTCATGCTCTTGTGCTCTCGCTCTCTGTCAAATAAATAAATAAAATCTTTAAAAAAAAAAACCCTATATAATCCAAGTTTTGGTATCATAAAATCTTACTAGTTTTATTTGGAAATATGCTATTGATGTTTTTGTGAATATGGTTTAAAGTTTTGGGGCTTCATTGGGTAGGTGAGAAACTCTTAATAATGGAGTTAAATAAACGAGAATGGAGTTGTTTTGAGGGGAAAAATATTTGAGGTTTTACACTACACTTTTTAGAAGTGTATTTAACCAGGCACAAAGAAGGAAAGCTGAGATTTTGTGAATTATCTGCAGGAAGTTTTAAAATCCCGACTAAACTGCCTTTTCCATTTAGCAGGTATCTAAGCTGTTTTCTGTTGCCATCGATTGATGAGTACCCAAGGAATACAAGCTAATTTTTAAATCAACCAAACCAAATAACTATGTAAATTTTGTTTTAAACAAAAATCATAATGTACCCTAAAACCTAAATAGAATTTTAAACTTTTTTATTTTGTGATCATTATAGCTATGTGTATAGTTTGTTTTTTTAAGTAGGCTCCATGTCCAGTGTGGAGCCCAGTGCGGGACTTGAACTCACGACCTGAGATCAAGACCTGAGCTGAGATCAAGAGTCAGACACTTAACTACTGACTGAGCCACCCAGGTGCCCCAGTTTGTACAGCTGTGAGAAATAATACAGAGAGATCCAGTGTACCTATCACCCAGTTTCCCCCATTGGTAACATTTTGCAGTAATACAGTATCACAGACAGGAAATTGACATTGATGCAATTCACCAACCTTATTGAGATTTTTCCAGTTTTATATGCATTCATTTATGTGTTTGTGTGTGCACTTAGTTCTATGCAGTGTAATACAAGTGTAGATTTGTGTGAGCACCACCTCAGTCAAGACAAAGAACAGTTCCAGGGCACCTGGGTGGCTCAATTGGTTAAGTATCCAACTCTTGGATTCGGCTCAAGTTATGATCTTAGGATGGTGAAATCAAGCCCCATGTGGGCTCCATAGAGTGTGGAGTCGGCTTGAGATTCTCTCCCTCTCTGGTGCACTTGCCTCCCTGCCTACCCCTGCTCGCACGTGCTCATGCTCTCTCTCACTCACTCTCTAAAAAAAAGAGAGAGAGAGAACAGTTCTATCACAAGGATCCCTTATGCTACTTTTATATCCACAGCTACCTCCCTTCCCACCCATTCCTGACTCCTGGCAACCACTAACTCATTTGTTTTCTACCTCTATACTTTTGTCATTTCAAGAATATTATATAAATGGAATCATGTAATATGGAACCTTTTGAGATTGGCTTTTCTTCTCTCGCATAATTCCCTTAAAATCTATCTGAGTTTTTGTTTTTATCAATAGTTCATTCCTTTTTATTGCTGAATAGTATCCATGGTATGGATTACCACAGTTTGTTTAACCATTCATTGAAGGACATTTAAGTTGTTTCTCATTTTTGGCTATCTATGAATAAAGCTGTTATGACCAATAGTGTACATGTTTTATGGGAACATAAATTTTCAGTTCTCTGGGATAAATGCCCCAAGGTGCAATTGCTGGGTTGCATGCTAAGTACATGTTTAGTTTTGTAAACATGTCTAATTTTGTAAATAGTTTGGCAGAGCACCTGCCAAACTATTTCCTAGAGTTACTGTACCATTTTACATTCCCACTAGCAATTTATGAATAATCCAGTTTTGCCACATCCATGTCTGCATCTGGTGTTATCACTATTTTTTTTTAAATTTTAGCCATTCTGATAGATGTGCAGTGCATTGATGTATTTGTTGACCCTTATTTGTCTACAAAAGAGAAATAATTAAATTGGATATAGTGAATGGCAAACTGCTTTCATGTGAAGTTTCTCAAAAATCTTATGTAAAGTGCTCACTTCGGCAGCACATATACTAAAAAAATAATCTTATGTAAAGACATTAGGCCTTCATTAGAGAAGTTACCCCCAAGGAATTGTAAGCTAATTGGCCATAGCTTTTAACCTAGAGTTAGATTTCTTTATTTTAGAGAAAGGGAGAGCGAGCGTGTGTGCAAGCAGGGGTGGGGGTGGGCACAGGGAGAGAGAGAAACGTAAGCAACCTCCACACTTAGTGCAGAGCCCAGTGCAGGGCTGGATCTCACCAACCCTGGGATCATGCCTGAGCTGAAATCAAGTGTTGGACGCTTAACCAACTGAGCTACCCAGGTGCCCCTAGAGTTAGTTAGACATCTTTTTTTTTTTTTTAAAGATTTTATTTATTTGAGAGAGCGAGAGAGCACAAGCCGGGGGAGTGGCAGAGAGAGAGGGAGAAGCAGACTCCCCGCTGAGCAGGGAGCCCAATATGGGGCTCAATCCTAGGACCCTGGGATCATGACCTGAGCTGAAGGCAGACACTTAACCAACTAAGCCACCCAGGTGCCCCCCGAGTTAGACATTTGTATGTAAGAGCCTCAGACCTGGGTGTTAACTGCATGGCTTCCAAATCTGATACTCTAATCTTTTCTGTTTCTCTCTGTAGGGCCATGCTTTACCTGTTGATTCTAAAATCCAAAGAGAGGGGCGCCTGGGTGGCTTAGTCGATAAGTGTCTGCCTTTGGCTCAGGTCATAATCCCAGGGTCCTGGGATCGAGCCCCGCATTGGGCTCCTTGCTCAGCGGGAGGCCTGCTTCTCCCTCTCCCACTCCCCCTGCTTGTGTTCCCTCTCTCGCTGTGTCTCTCTGTCAAATAAATAAAATCTTAAAAATAAAAATAAATAAATAAAATCCAAAGAGATTATGAAAATAAGATTTCTGCTAATGTATTTCAATTTATTTTGTAATTTAAAGCAAGCAGGGGTGCCTGGCTGGCTCAGTCGGTAGAGCTTGCAATTCTTTTTTTTTTTTAATAAAGATTTTATTTATTTATTTGAGAGAGAGAATGAGAGAGAGAGAGAGCATGAGAGGGGGGAGGATCAGAGGGAGAAGCAGACTCCCCGCTGAGCAGGGAGCCCGATGTGGGACTCGATCCTGGGACTCCAGGATCATGACCTGAGCCGAAGGCAGTCGCTTAACCAACTGAGCCACCCAGGCGCCCCAAGAGCTTGCGATTCTTGATGTGGGAGTTGTAAGATCGAGCTCCACATTGGGTGTAGAGGTTACATAAAAATAAAATCTTAAAAAAAAAAAATAACGCAGACAAAACCTCGTTGTTTTACTATGTATTCATCACCTCCAATTGGTGTCCTTTGGCTTGTAGTTCTAACTGTACCTGCGGGTCAGGTTGCAGAGGAAACTGTAATTGAAGAAGAGGAAGAAGCAGAGAAGTTGCCTCTGACTAAAAAACCACGAATAGAAGAGATGACAAACAGTGTGGAGGAGAGCAAGGTAATGTTTTTAGCAGCAGTAGAGAGGAGAGAAGGAATCAAAAGCCAAAACTTTTAAGGCCTGAACCCTTCTTTATGTTTTTGTCTGCTCTCTGGATAATCTGGGATCAGGAATTCTTACCTAGTGGTGACATGGTTTACCTTTACAGGAGGGCACTGAAAGAGAGCTGCTCCAGCAGCAGCTCCAGGAGGCCAATCGAAGAGCTCAGGAATACCGACACCAGCTCCTAAAGAAAGAACAGGAGGCAGAACAGTACCGCCTCAAGCTAGAGGCCATGGCCCGACAACAGCCCAATGGAGTTGACTTCACCATGGTTGAAGAGGTGGCGGAGGTAGATGCTGTAGTAGTTACAGAGGGGGAGATGGAAGAGAGAGACACGGAAGTGACTGGGGCAGGAGGGACCATGGAGCCTCATCCTGGAGTTTCCTTGGAAACTGTTTCATCTTAATGTGCAAGGGCCACAACTTGTACTGTGTCCATCTTTTTCCTCTTTTTAAAAGAAAATACAGAGGACAGACATTGTATAAAAATTAAGAATGTCCTTAAGAAGAAAACTATAGCAGGGTACAGTGCTTGGGCTCAGGAAGGCTTGCTATGCAACTGGAAAATTCAAAGCCAAATTTAGGGAATACTTTTGAGGGACCAAAAGAACAAGGACCAGATTTCTCAGCTCACATCATTGCTTTAAGCTTAGAGGGAAAAGAATGCTGGATATTGTGGGTTGTTTTTTAAATAACTGACTTTGTATCAGAAGATTTTAAGGTAACATTCCTAGTAGAGACACACAGAGCCTTTAATTAGTGTACCATCAAGTGACCTTAAAATTTGCCTTAGATTTATGACGTGTACCTGGTAGAGAAGAAAACTAACTGGGAGGTGGATTAGAAGCAAACTTTTGGGAAGAGAAAGAAATATATTCCACTTCCAAAGGAGCAGGCATTCCCCTCTATCCTGAATTAATTTCACTGAAAAGAAATTGGTAGTTGCCTAACTCTGCATCCATTATGTGTCCATAATTCAGATGCCAGTTTAAGAAACTGAAGTGGAATATTTAAAAACTGGAAAGGAAAGAAAACTTGTTTATGTGGGAGAAGTGTATGTAAATCCAAAATCCTCCAGGCTGTGCTTCCACAATGCTGGAAAGTGGCCAGAAAGAGGCTTGTGGGGTTATGAAACAATCTGGTCTCGAGATACAAACTTTGCTCTGGCTGGATTTTATAAAATTGAAATCAGGAGGATAGTCTGTTGCTACAACTTGCTTCCAAACATTTATTTCTATAATATTGAGCTTTAATAACAGCTTTTTAATTTTATAAAATTTTGTTGAGTTTTCTAAGTGTGTCTTTCTGTGGAGCTTACATGGTATCCTCTTCATTGCAAAAAAAGAAGTCGGGGGAGGGGTGAGTACTGCGGGTGTTGGTGGAGTTTTGTTTCCGTTTGACTTGGGATGAGCAAATGGTTGTTTCCTTAAGGTTGGGTTTTGTGCAGAGCTTTTGTGCCTTATAGGTGCTCAGTGTGTGTTGGCAAAGGGAGTGAAAAACTAGAAGTGCCATAAAGTAAGGAACCAAAAATTCTGGCTCAGTGACTTCATCTGCCTGACTTCCTTCTCTACCACTATGCCTGCTCCCTTTGCCTAGACACTTCTGGAAAGTGTTTTGTTGCTGGGTTTTCTTTGTGCACCAGTTTGGAGTTTTTTCAAAATAAAGGGGATATGGATGGAGAGAGAGAGGTTGTGGAGAGGTTACATTACAGAAGTTACTGTCTTTGAAATTGGGCCCCCATCTTTCTAGACCTGCTTGCTTGCTTTATTGTAAATTAGAAGAAGAAACCAGAGGATGTGCCAAGTAAACATTTGAATGACTGTTTAGAATACGGTTTTCTTAATTAGCGATCATGGGGAAAACATACGTTTTTAATCTGGAATAAAACTTGACAGTTAACATGGTTCTATTTACCTTGATTAGTGAAGTAATTTGCTGCAGTTTTCCAGAGGTGCAGAATCACGTGGGACTCAAAATAGACCTAAAACAACTCGCCAAACCAAATTTGACAAACAGAATTGGTTATTAGAGGCTTATAAGCAAAAATACCAGTTTGAAATTAATCTTGGCTACTGGCCACCTTAACTAGGTTTTCTCCATAGACTTGAGAGATTACTCTTGGTTTTGGGGGATGACGAGAAGCCTAGGTAAGGGCTAGTGTGAAATTGTGCCATCTGCTGTCAAATTGTCCTTTTTCATCTTGCGATGTTTTTCTTTTTTCTGAGTCCCTTTGTGAACCAGGTGCTAACAATAAGCTGCTATTGTGTGCCATTTCAGAGCCTTAGCTTAACTATAGAGATAGAGGGACCAAGTGTCATTTTAGATATGTTTGGTTTATGTTCTTTGTGTATATATTGACTTTAATTCCTTCCCCCCGCCCCTTGCCTGTTAAAGGGGTGGAGGTTAACTCTGCAGAGGATATCCAGGCCCAGCCCCCTCTCCCTGTGGGGTAGCTTCTGACTAGGGGCAGGAGTTGCCATCCAGCACTCCCTGCTGAGCATACAGAGTCCCTACTGTTTTGGGGAACTGTTCAGAAATTCTTATTATTCTCTTTCTGTAGGAGGCTGTCATTCTCACCTAGAAAAATCTCTAATACAGTCCAATCATTTTTGATGATGGGGTCTCTGAGATAGGGAGTTGGGTTAGGGAAAGAGAAAAGAGAAATGTCTGGAAAGGGAAGAGTAGCAAAAAGGTATTTGTTGTTATTTACTTGAAATACCTTTTAGCATCCCAGAGAAGAGAAATAGGATTTGATCCCCAGTTGTTTTTTTATTTTTTTTTTAATTTTTTAATTTTTTTATTTTTTGACAGAGACAGCGAGAGAGGGAACACAAGCAGGGGGAGTGGGAGAGGGAGAAGCAGGCTTCCCGTGGAGCAGGGAGCCCGATGTGGGGCTCAATTCCAGGACCCTGGGATCATGACCCGAGCTGAAGGCAGACGCCTAACAACTGAGCCACCCAGGCGCCCCTGATCCCCTGTTGTATTGCCATGGAGAGAATGGCAGGTCAGGATCCCTTGAACTAGTCAGAAGTTAAATATTAAATGCATTAATGGCAATACCATTTTATGATTTTGCATCTTTCAGGATCAGCAATGGAAGTTGGGAAAATGTCGCTAGATCTTCTGGGTTGATGGATCCCAATTGGTTTATTGGCGAGATTGGATTACAGAGAATCAAATAACAGGTGGTTCAGAATTGGTACTTAAGCAGGAGAAACCTGGAACCTAGGATGATTGCCTACTTTAAAATAAAGCTGCTTTAACAATATCAGTATTAATTTATGAATTTTAGGTTCTACATTTGCATTTTGGTCTTAAGCCTTCCCCGAAAAAAGAGAAAGAAAGAAGTCCTAATATTTCTGTTCTTGTTCTTAGCTTCAGGGAAATTACTTATAAATATAAAATGTACAGTTCCCTTCCTATCACTACCTCTGTGGGATCTTTTAATTGTAATGGCAGAGTTGAGTTTTCTTAGTGGAGATATGGGAGAACTTGACTTTAGGTTTTCTGTTTTGAACTCAGTGCCTTAAAAGATGTTCTTTTTCTCTGTCAGATCCATGTGTAGTTATTTTTGGCTTTGGCTTTCCCCCTTCTTCAGCCTTACCATTGCATTATTAAAATTTTTGTGTCTGCTCAGTAATGTTAGAAATCTATGGCATACAAAAGTACTTTCTTTCTTTATATTGATGTAAAAGAAATGAATTTACCAGAAGGCTCTACAGTCAAAGTTAGGTATTGCGTGACCAGGGCACTTCTAATACCCATTTGCTGGTTGCATATTGGTGTGTACATTTATAAATACATACGGATTTTCCCACTTTTTGTTTATTTAAGGTTCAGCTCTAAAGTACCTGGTATTGCTTGCTTCTCAGCCTTTTGGCTAAGATCAAGTGTGGTAAAGTACCTGGCATAACCTGGAAATATTTTCATTTCATTAAACACATTAAAGAGGGCTTCTGTGGCTACACTAAAGGGACTGAGGAAGAAAAAGCTTTACTTTGGCCCTTCTCTGAGAGGTATGCTCTAACTGGTGTAAACCCCAGGGAGAACCAGTATGTCGCTTTACAGAGATTTGTTTAGCATATGGTGTGATGATACCATGGGAGCTAAATGGTTCAGAGCAGTGTCAGGGGTAAAGCCGGAGCTGCCTTTCTCAGAGCAAGCCTCCTTTGCACTCCTATGGCAGCGGTTTTCTCTTACACCTCGGAACAGGAAAGAAACCTTAGATAAAGGGGTCACGGCACAAGGAGCAGGCATTCTGTACATCTGCTTTCCCAGGTTAGAAATCTCATCTTTTTGAGGAATGATCGTTTTGAGAAAGCTTGTGTGGCTCTCTGCTAAACAAACATCATTATGGACCTCCAGAGCTAGAAAACTTCAGGCATATAGTGAACTCTTCCCAAAAGTTGGATATTGAGTAGAAATCGGTTTTTATCCAAATTTACTGGAGAATGGCCTCCTTGTGCAGACATCTCCGTATGGCCAGAAAAGGAGCTTTAGAATGGAATATATGTCAGCACCACCTATATGCTGTTCCGGGCTCTCTATCTCCATTTTATGTGATGAATATTTTTGGAGTGGGTACTCTGTTTCCTATGCCAATATATTTAATAAGAGAGCGGGAGTAAAAAGGATGAATTTGACTTAAGTGTCTTTGAGCCTCTGTTGCTGCCTTTTTTTTTCTTGGAGCCTCTCTAGGATTAGTGGGTGGGGTGACATTCCTAGACTCTACAGTAGCAATTTGGCTGGTTAATGGCAGGAAATTGTGATTCCCTATCTCTCTCCCCCCACTTTCCCCTCTAAACTACTTCTGCTTCTGTGGCCCCATTGTTCTTATCTCATTGAGTCTTTCCCAGGCACTAGAACTTCATTAGTAGGTCATTTCTAATCTATGGGCCTTGTCTTTCCTCTTTCCACTCCCCTCCTTCCCTATTACATGAATTTTCTGTTTATTCTGAAGTGGTTTGTTTCTGAAAATTAATCTAGGTCATACCCTATATCCTGTGCTTCCTAGTTGGTTTCAGGCATCTTGCTTGACCAACAATAATGACTGCAGCTCCCTTCTCTGGCTTTGTCCTGTGGCCTGTCCTCCTGGCAAGGCCATTTATGTTGGAGGAGGAGAGAAAGAGGGTGGGTGGGGTGCCTAGATTCTTCTCAAAATGTCCTCAGTTTTTCAGGTTTTCTGACAGCTTTATGTACAGTGTGTTTTAGGAAAACTTAAATATACTTCTCTTTTTTTATTTAGGATTTTAATAGGGTTTGACTTTGATGAGGAAGGGTGTGTGTATGTGTGTGTGGGTGATCATTTGTGTGTATATACACTTATACAGATCTATATTATATATATAATTTTTGTACTATCATTTAAAATAAAGATGTTTCTTAATAAAATGTCAAAGTCTTACCATTTCAGAGTGTCACTGAAAGTTTTTTCCATCTCCTGGGCAAAAATTATACCTAGTCCCTGATCACAGATAAATCTCATAGGAAGTTTTCTCTGTCTCGCTGAGCTGATGAGGGTGGAGCGGGGGAAGGTGTGTTGTGTGAGGGTCTTCTTTCCCGCTGTGGTCTCTTCTAACCTTTTCATGCCCTCTGCATTTTTCTGGCCCGAGCCCCTCCTGGTCACCTGAAGTAGGCGGAGCGAGTGGCCGGAAGGGCTGAAGTGAGAATGGAGAGAGCTTTAGACCGGTTTGTTAGATCTACATCTGCCTCCCTTCTGCCAGACCCCACTCCCTTCCCAAAAGCAGACAACCAGGAGAAGAGCCCAGTAGCTGAAGGAAATGACTCTGTGCCTTGTGTGGGAGTAAAACCGATGCTAAGATAGGTTTGGCAGGGAGGGGGTAGGCCATCGGGTCAGGGAGGCTCGGAAGTAGATTTGCTCTGCTGGCCCCTCAGCTATTCTTAGTTAATAAGGTGCTTGCTGCTAGCGCAGTCCAATTCAGCATATATTTACTAAGTAAATGCGGGTAGCAGTGTGGTTGTAGCACAAACCCCACTGATATCCAGGGCCGAAGGGCCTCATCTGGCTGACTAGATGGGGTCCTCATCGAGGGTATAGCGTTCTCAAAAGCTGCTCCATTGGCAATAAGGATGCCTTTCTTCAGTAAAGGAGGGGAATACCAAAGTCAAAGACATATAAGCATCTGTGTTCAACAACTAGAATCTCCAAGTCAGTATTTAGGAAATTGAACATTTACCATGTACTAGGCTACATATAGATAATTGCTTTTTGGTAAATACATATAGTCAAAAAATCCATTATACATATTAATAAGGTACATCTGGCAGAGTACCTCATAAATGCGTATACAGTCTCTGTTCTGCTGAGAGGAAAAGAGCAGGCAAAGAAAACAGAAAAAGAGCAGGGACTTGAGGAGGCTTGAGAAACAAAGAACTAAAAGTCTTACTGAATTAAAATCCTAGTAAGAGAAATCATCAGGAATGTGGGAAAGTTGGAAGGGAATTGGGGAGATAGGAACCCAGAGTT